TTTCTCTCTTTCTTTTTGGCCACTCATAAATCTACCCTAGTTTGCTCTGTGTTTTGTTATTTTTCTACGGACCTTGTCTTTGTGTCATGACCTTCTCTCTAGTCTTGAAGTATACAAACCCACATCTTTCTCCTCTATAAGAGACAAAGTCATGTAATGGACACTTTCAGCTTTACTGCTGCCCATTTTTCAGAACAGAGAGGATGCATTTTATTGCTGTCCCTTTGTGTGTTCCTTAGCTAGCACAGCCCTCTTCTAGAAGTAGAGCATAACCTACTTCTCTGTCCATTTCTTGAAGACTTAAAGAAAGGGGAAAATACTCCTAACCTAATTTTTAAAATAGTTCCTGCTTTTAGCAGAGCGAAATGGAGTTCTCAATCAAAATGGAAAGAGAGGAGCCATTACATATGAGTGAACTAATAAGTACACTTTAGTCAGACTCAAGGGCAATATTAAAGAAAAGTGTTTTCATCAAAACTGATATATTGGAGGGTGTGAGTGAGAGTGTGTGTGTGTGTGTGTGTGTGTGTGTGTGTGTGTGTTTCCATTCATATTCATGTGGAGGCCAGAGGACAACTTTGGAAGCTGTTCCTCAGGTGTAATCCACCTGGGTTTTTGTTTTGTTTTGTTTTGTTTATTTCTTTTTTTTTTTTTTTTTTTTTTTTTTTTTTTTTTTTTTTTTTTGGTTTTTCGAGACAGGGTTTCTCTGTGCAGCTTTGCGCCTTTCCTGGGACTCACTTGGTAGCCCAGGCTGGCCTCGAACTCACAGAGATCCGCCTGGCTCTGCCTCCCGAGTGCTGGGATTAAAGGCGTGCGCCACCACCGCCCGGCTTGTTTATTTCTTTAGACAGGATCTTTCACTGGCCTGGAATTTACCAAGGAGTCTATGTAGACTGGCTGGCCAAAGTTTTTTTTTTTTTGTTTGTTTTTGTTTTTTGTTGTTTGTTTGTTTTTTTGAGACAGAGTTTCCCTGTGTAGCTTTGTGCCTTTCCTGGAACTCGCTTGGTAGACCAGGCTGGCTGATCACAGAGAACAGCCTGGCTCTGCCTCCCGAGTGCTGGGATTAAAGGCGTGTGCCACCACCGCCCGGCATGGCTGGCCAAAGTTAACCTGTAAGCCCCTCCTGCCCAGGGACAGACAACTTCCTGGAATGCTGGGGGCTGTGGTTCTCAGGGTGTTCGCAGGCCACGCATTCTCACTCCCCTAAAAAAGTTTGTTTGCCCCAGAAGTGCTTGATTGGATGTGGGCTGGAGGTAGAAAGCAGGAAATTCGTCAAGATATGTGCTTGCTCCATTGGACTTAATAGGAAATGTGGTGGCCTTGTGTTTTTGCCTTTTTAAGCCTCTGCAAAACGTGACTCTTGACCATTTTTTGGGAACTCAGAGATGGACCTGGCCAGAGTTCATCCTCCTGGCCAGAATTTAATTAAAGCTTGCTTCAAATTGTCTCAAAAATTGTGGAACTGGTCTTTCTCTCTCGGTGGCATTAACTGGAGCCCCAGGGACCCACCCATCTCTACCTCTCCAGGGATGATGTCAAGCTGTACTGGAGACAGCCACACCAGGGACAGCCACACCGGAGACAGCCACACCAGGGACAGTCACACCGGAGACAGCCACACTGGGAACAGCCACAGAGGAGACAGCCACACCAGGGACAGCCACACCGGAGACAGCCACACCAGGGACAGCCGCACCAGGGAAGCTGCCCTTTCTTCTAGCTCGATTTTGGGTGAGAAGAAAAGTAACCCTATCCCTTTCCGTGGGGCTTCTTTTTGTGGACCATCCTTTCTTGCTCTTTGGACAACTGATCCTTTCTCTCTGCCCTTGCCACATGGCTCGTGGCTTACCGGCACCTTCACATGCTGTTTCTCATCATGGCGGCTGGCAGTGTCTCTCTGACTCAGCCTTCCACTTCCCAGCTTTATTCTCCTCCTTGTCCCGCCTACACTTTCTGCCTAGCCAATGGCCAATCAGTGTTTTATTTATTGACTAATTAGCAACACATTTGCCATACAGAACATCCCACAGCACTTCCCCCATTTTTTTTTTTTCAAAAAGGAAGGTTTTAACCTTAACAAAATAAAATTACATATAATTTGGGAATTTGGGCGTAGCTTCTCTTACTACTTCCTGCTGGAGGGGGACGCTGTATCTTATGGGGAAACAAAGAAAATTTTAGGATTATGGAATAGTCCATGAGGCTGTATCGTCTGAGCCAGATGCCTTCAAACCGTTCTGGATGTTGGATCATCTGGGCCATGGTGTCATCGGAGACCTTTCAGGGGGTCTTGGCTGGTCAAACCTGATGTGTCTTAATCTGGAACAAATCCATAGCCTCTGGCTTTCTGTGGAAACAAAAGCAGAGTCTCCTTTCCAAAGTAACATATCCTTATATCCAAATTTTGAAGTCAAGGTACCTTTAAAATATACATTTTGGCATAACTCAACAGCTTTTACAATCAAATGTTTTTCTGCAGTTAAAAGTCCCAAAGACAACACAATGCAGATTCTCTGTGTAATATCCATTTTTACGTGGCTTATTTTTTATACTACCTTTATTGTCTCTTTAAAGACTTTATTTTTTAAAACTATGTATTTGTTTCTATAACTCTATATATCATCTTTTTTGTCTCTTTCAAGCCTACGTATCTTTTACACACATTGTAAACTATTACATCTGAATCTGTCTTATTGTGAATCTATTGCCTTAAACTGTAGCAGCTGTGGCTGCTGGCTCTGCCCACCTCAGCTTCCCAACATGGCTGTGGTTTACCGCCAGCTCTGGGAGCTATCGTGGGTCTATGCTTTTATCCAAGCAGCAAGTAGCCCAGAAACCCTTTTTTGTTTTGTACTAGCAAAGGCTAAATCCACCATGTAGCTTAATGTGCCACTTGCAGAGGCCTCATTCCCGCCATACTGCAGGTTGAGCACGCACTCTAGGAACCCACCAGTAGCTCAAACCAGCAGCTGGCGCTCATTTGAGAGAGACAATTAGGAACTGTTTTTAGCTCCGTTTTAGAATCTTTTCTCAGGTTTTAGGTGGAAACTCTTGCTACCACGTTGGACGCCATTTGTAGATAGAGTCTTCCTGCCTGGCCCACAGTCAGGACAAATCTCTCTCACTTGCCAGTCCCACAGCCGCTCAGACCCAACCAAGTAAACACAGAGACTTGTATTGGTTACAAACTGTATGGCCATGGCAGGCTTCTTGCTAACTGTTCTTACAGCTTAAATTAATCCATTTCTATAAATCTATGCCTTGCCACATGGCTCATGGCTTACCGGCACCTTCACATGCTGTTTCTCATCATGGCGGCTGGCAGTGTCTCTCTGACTCAGCCTTCCACTTCCCAGCTTTATTCTCCTCCTTGTCCCGCCTACACTTCCTGCCTAGCCAATGGCCAATCAGTGTTTTATTTATTGACTAATTAGCAACACATTTGCCATACAGAACATCCCACAGCACTCTGCTGTGGTGCCTGCTGTAACAACACACCATTTTAAATTTCTCAGTAACTTAGAATCATGAGATTAAAACGACATTGAAAATGTTCAAAAGGCATGTACTCTTCATCCCAGCTTCTCCGACTTCTAGATAAATGGAATTGCTTCCTGCTGTGTTGGTGTCTGAACGTAAGGGTGGCACTACTGAGGGCAGAGGACAGTAAAAGGCTGCTTCCCTTCTCAAAGAAGCCATGTTTTGTATTGTAATTAGAATGTAAAAGTATCACTTATGCAAATTTGCCCAAGTCTGGACCTCACACGCCTCAGGGCTCACATGGCAACAGGTTTGCATCGTGTTCATTTCTAAAGATGGTACTGGGGAGGAGGGGGCACGGATAATAATAACAGCTTTTGTTGTCTTTTCCGCTGGGTTCGGATGAGATGGTAGCATCAGGCTTTAATGTTGTGCTCAGAGCATTTCAGTCTAAACAGTCTGCTGTAAGTTTCAGATGACATAAAATGAATTGCAGTATTAGCTCAGGCTGACCTCCACCTTCCTGTGTTTCTGAAGATACTCTTGAAAGTAATCCTCTGCCTGCATCTCCCAAGTGCTGGGATTACAGGCGTGTGTCACCACACCCAGGGCCTAGTACAGGCCAGAGAGCAGGCTAGCAAACAAGCCACGTTCCACCCCCAGCCTCTGGAGGCCTCACTTATCCTGGTAGGTTCACAGTGTGGTCTGCCGAGTGCTTTTGTTTCAATGAGAGGTGACCTGAACAAATGTCAGGAACACGTAAAATTCCCTAAGCAGAACGGCCCTCCCAGTGGAGGGACGTCCCAGCAGCTGAGCATAGGAAAGCAGGGTTCTGCTGGAGCCCCATGATGCATAGTGGGGGTCTGAAGGGGAAATACAGGGTCAGAGGTGAAGTCCTTGACGGGAAAGCTCTCCAGATAACACCTGTGCTCTCCGCACCTCTGCCTTCCTTTTAAATATATACAAGAATCTCTCTGAAACCACCTTTTTTAAAAAATTAATTTGTTTTATTTTATTGGTGTTTCACCTGTCTGTCTGTCTGTGTGAGGGTGTTGGGGTGTTACAGACAGGTGTGAGCTGCCCTTTAGGGCCAGGGAATTGGACCCAGGTCCTCTGGAAGAGCAGCAGTGAGTCATCTTTCCAGCTCCTAGTCACAACTTTATCACAAACTTCCTAATTTCTCAGGACACACAAATATCCAAGAGAGAATGATGGGCCACGCACTGTGTTATAGACAAGAACTTTCTGGGTGCAGATAGAGAGATGATGAAAGGCAGAGGTAGCACCAAGGAGATAAAGGTTCAAGGGATAGAGAACACATCCTAAAGCCCGGCCGGGCCCACAGAAACCTTACGTGGAAAAGTCCCACCTGCTGTTGAGAGGCATGCTCCTCTGAATTGCTACATTCTCTCCAAATTGAAACATTTGCTCCAGGAAGGAAGGGGTGGCCTCAAGAGGTAAACAAAAGATCAAATGTAGGGGAGAACCGGAAGTGGGAAAAATCTTGAGGGCTCCTCCGCAGCAGTAAAAAACGAAAGTAGACGGTTGCTGTGGTGGAGACTCGGTCCCTCCAAGGTGCAGAGAGAGGCGTTTGAACTCCGGGTGATCTGCCTTCAAACTGCTCTAGGGACACAGTTTTCAGGGATTGTCACCCGTGTGGTAGGCTCTCTGGTCATGCAACTGCGTCGGGTCATCCGTGCTCCTTGTAAGTAACCCTTAACTGGTGTGAGTTGACGTTCGTGTGTCTGTGTGTCTGTGTGTGTGCTACACCACCCCAGGAAAAGTGTCACACAGCCCCTGCCCCAGCACCTAGCAGCAAGCACCCTAAAGATCCCCTGTTTTCACAGCCCAGCCTTGCCTGCTCCTGGGACCAGATCAGCCCATAGCCAGCCAGCGGGATCTTAGCTTGCCCCTCCCTGCAAGCTGCTGAGCTTAGGCCGGTCTTGGCATCCTTTGTACTGGCCTGAGTCATTGCCAGTGATGCTTCCCCTGTCCTGGGTCTGTTGTGTCCTCTGTCCCTCCTGCCAGGCTCCCTCTGCTCATTTTCAGTGAGTTGCCCCTGAAAGAGGAGCAGCTGGAGATCCCCACCCCTCAGCTTAAGGTTTAACCCTGTGCAATGGTTTTCTCCCTGGGGAAGAGCCAAATACTTCAGGCAGCCAGCTTCAGAAGCCAGCCAGGTGTTTCCTGTCCACTCCCAGCAGCCGCCTGTGTGTCAGCTGGTGACTAGTCATAGCCTCATGCCACCTAGACCTGATCATCGGCGCCCGAGTGCGTCTCCAGGTTTGCACCCAGGCCCTTAGACTTGTCACCCCTATTATAACAAGATTTTGTCCACTCCAGGCACTTCTGGAGCAAATGGCTGGGTGTCCCTGCCAGCTCCCTCCAGCTATCGGTAGCTGGGAAGCTTGATTCTTAGTGTCTTCCTACACAAGTGCCCGCAGTGCCCCACTCCCAAGCCCCTTGGCATCCACTTCAGTATACAGCAGACCTCGAAATGTATATGGTCTGGTATGTGGTCATCTTTGGAATACACTGTGCCTGTGTAGGGAGAAGTCAGAAGCACTCGGAAGGTAATTCCCATAAAAGCATCTTGAGCCTTCTACGGATGGAGGACTGGCAGATGAATACTCACCTGTCTGACTTCCTGGTCCTTGGATCTGTTAATTTTCAGACATGGTTCTCAGTGTTCTCTTAGTGGGATTGAACTGACTTACTTACTTACTTATTTATTTATTTATTTAGCTTTGCGTCAGGGTCTCATATATCCCAGGCTAGCTCAAACTCATCTGTAGCTCTGAGCGATTGTGAACTGCTGGTGGTTCTCCTGCCTCCACCTCCTGAGTGCTGGGATTACACACAACCACACTCCGTTTATGAAGTACTGGAGATGGACCCAGGGCCTCAAGCATGCCAGGCAGGCCCTCACTAAACTCCATCCCAGCCCCTCCCTGTCGGCTTGAGTGCCCTGCTTGTGGACCTTTGATGCATCTTTCTCTTCACACTCCTGTTCACTTGCAGGCTTCCTCAGACTCTCTCAAATACACGCTTGCACTTTGACTTTATCTCAGCCTTCCGTTTCTGGGAGACTCGATGTCTAGCACGTAGCAGCCATAGCAGGCACTCAGCTAGTCCTCCGCAGGTCGTCTTACTATTGTGGGATTTCTGCCTTACAGGGGAGGTGACTCTTGGACTGTGAAGGCTTCTATTAGGAGCTGTTATCTTCCCACGGAGGATGAAAAAGGGCCTTCCAGCTGAAAGTCCTGAGAAAGGATCTACGAGATGAAAATGTGAGGGGGGAAAGAAGGAATTTCCTCCCTCCTGTGCCAATGTGCTTTCAGATGTGGAGGGGACTCAGGTTGGTTATGAAATCATTCACTCTGGTGAGCCAGCATGTTGCCTTTTATGGATGCTACAGCCTAGACTGCTGTACCGGGAGTGATTTTCCATCATGTTCTCTATAGAGTTCACAGCAAAGCCAAAAATAATATAAGATATTCAAACCAACCCTAGACTGGAGTGTCGTTTTATAAACACTTGTGATCAAAACCCTCCATGAAATAAAACTGTAATCGCCCCATGACCAGCGTTCTCACCCCCCCCCCCTCCTTTTACGGCGGGTTGGCACCAGGCTAGTGTCTTTGTGTCACACATGAGGAAATGAGTCACATAAAGGACGTGCTGAAGGCTCTAAGGCTGCTGTCGGAGGAGAGCTGGAAGACAGTGTTCACCACCCTCCTCGTGGGCTGGGCCCGACACAGGATTCCTAACGCAGCTTCAGACTCTCAAGTCTTTCTGATAAACTTTTATAAGAGAGCAAAACTGTGTGGTTAATGAAAAGGGTCACTGGTGCTGGGGAATTTGATGAAGTTTTATGTGGTTCAAATGAAACTGTGAAAATCAGATTTTTAAAAATAATTACTGGGCATTTAATAGGGATGATCAGAACCAGGTTAATTTTTTTGCATAATTTTTGCACAGCTATGAATATAGTTAAATAAGAGGTGTTGGCCTCCCAGGGCCTGTCCCCTGAGAGGTCTCTGGAGTCTACAGGAGAGAGAGCCTGCTGGGTGCACCTGGGCTACACAGACTGCTGGGGTGAGGGGAGTGTTTGGAGAAGGTCAAGGTTCAGGCAGCCTGGTGAGAGGGTGTGGCTGACAGAAGAGAGCTGACGTGGTGATGTGCAGACTGAGGCGTGGCAGCAGGAAGTAAGGGATAGTGGTGACCCAAGCAGACAAGCAATAATGGCTGGCACCCTAGGACCAGTTAAAGGGACAGTCACCCACTGGACTACAAACGTGAGTTCAGAAGTCCAGAAACGCTTGGGCTCAACACCAAGTGCTAGAACCAAGTTTAAAGAGACCCAGCAGCATTGTGAGCTTGGGGAGGACTCACTTGATCGACTGCATGCTGTGGGATGCTCTGCATGCTGTGGGATGCTCTGCGTGCTGTGAATGCGTTGCTCTGATTGGTTGATAAATAAAAAGCTGATTGACCAGTAGCCAGGCAGGAAGTATAGGCAGGATAAACAGACAAGGAGAATTCTGGGAAAAGGAAGGCTGAGTTAGGAGATGCCAGCCCGCTGTCCAGGGAGCAGCATGTAATGGCACACAGGTAAAGTCATGGAACACATGGCAACATACAGATTAACAGAAATGGGCTGAGTTTAAGTGTAAGAGCTAGTCAGTAGTTAGCCTGAGCTAATGGCCGAGCAGTTTTAATTAATATAAGCTTCTGAGTGATTATTTTATAAGCGACTGAGGGATCCGTGGGGCTGGGCAGGACCGGAGAAAACTTCAGTTACAACTACATCTAAAGACAGGGTTGCCAAAGAACAGATGAGAAGTTAGAGTTAATTTTTTTTAGGTGGTAGGGGTGTGTGTGTTTGTGTGTGTGTGTGTGTGTGTGTGTGTGTGTGTGTGTGTGTGTGTAAATGTCTGTGCACATGTATGAAGGTGAGAGGCTGAGATTGCCTTTCTTCCTCTGTTACTCTACCTTATTTATTTATTTCTTAATATTTTTAAAATTTGAGACAGGGTCTCTCATTGAACCTGAAACTCACCAACTGGCTAGACTAACTGGCCAGCCTCCCCCATCCCGTCCTCCTGTCCCTGCCTCCCGAGGCTAGGATTGCAGGTGCAAACTGCAAAGCCTGGCTTTCTAGTTAGTTGCTGAGGCTCCAACTCAGGTCCTGTTGCTTGCCTAGCAAGTACTTTGCACACTGAGCCATCTCCCCAGCCCCTAGAGCTGTTTCTGAGGTTATAGTGGGAACATTTTCATCCATTAAGAGGTGGGAGGATGGATACAGAGGCAAACAATTTGACAGTAATCCCTAGGGGGGAAAAAACATCCATTTTTAGGAAGTTTAGGAAAAGAGATGCTCTTCCCTTTAAAGTTTGAGCTGTGATGACAGGGCCACCAAGTTCCTAAATAATAAATTTCATTTCCTGTTTTGGGGTGAAGGATTTAAACTTAAGAATTGATTGAATTCTGTGCCGGGGGTGGAGGTGGTGGTGGTGGTGGTGACGGCAGCGCACGCCTTTAATCCCAGCACTTGGGAGGCAGAGGCAGGAGGATCTCTGTGAGTTTGAGGCCAGCCTGGTCTACAGAGTGAGTTCCAGGACAGGCACCAAAGCTACAGAGAAACCCTGTCTCGAAAAACAAACAAACAAACAAAGGAATTAATTGGATTCTAAAGAGATTGCCTTTGAGATGAGTTCTTGGTTCTCATTTATCGTATGCTTTCATCAGTATTTGGTTGAAAATAGAAAGTGCATAGCTATCAGATTAGAGAATGAGAAAATTCTGAGAATATTTCAAAACTTTAATCATGCTCACAAAGATTGCTGAGAAATTTGAATTTTAAAACACAGTGCCATTTACATTAATGTATAAAAAAACTTATGTATAAGTCTTAACAAAGCTATGCACAAGCTCTGCACAAGGAAGACTACAAACTGGTCAAAGACATCATGGAAGAACTGAATATATGGAGCGATTCCCTGTTCATGGATAGGAAGACTCAGTAGTGTTAGGACATCAGTTCTTTCCAATTTGGTCTTTAGATTCAATGTAATCTAAATTCAGATGCTGACCAATTATTTCGGGTTATTGGTAGATTGGTTCTGAAGTTGATATGGGCAAGCTGTTGATCCAGGATAGCAAGCACAATCCCGAAGAAAAAGGAATGAGTTGGACGACGGACACTATTCAACTTCAAGGCTTACTGTAGAACTACAACTCCCAAGACCAGACAGTTAAAAGTGTTAGCCAATGAGGCTCCTACACACAAACACAGCAGCTGACCTTTGATGAAAAGGAGGACTGTCACAGACGGGAGGCCAAAGCAGGAAACACTGACTGCAAGAGGAAGTCCTGCTCAGGCCGCAGCGTGAGTAAAAGACCAGCCAAGGCAACTCAGCAAGACCCTGTCTCAAAAATGTTAAGAGGTATGAAAGGGTGATAGGATATACCTCAGAGAAACATGTACAAGGATCTTGACTCCAGCACCATTTTTGGCAGTTTCTTACAGAATTAAACATATAAATTATATGATTCAGTTTACCCTAAAGAATTCAAACTATGTCCACATAATGACTTCTACATAGATAGTAACTTTGTCCATCATGTCAAAACTTTAAGCAACCAAGACCTCCTTTGGAAAATGAGGTAATAAATGAATCATGGTACATGGTACTGTGTGCTAAAAATTAAGAGGCTCATGTCTGAGTTAGGGTTTCTATTGCTGTGAAGAAACACCATGACCACAGCAACTCTTATAAAGAATACATTTAATTGAGATGGCGGCTTATAGTTTCAGAGGTTTAATCCATTATCATCATGGTGTGACATGGTGGTATACAGGCAGACATGGTGCTGGAGAAGTAGCTCCCTGAGTGTCCTACATCTTGGTTTACAGGCAACAGGAAGTGGTCTGTGTGTCACACTGAGCTTGAGCATAGGAGACCTCAAAACCTGCCCCTACAGTGACACACTTCCTCCAACAAGGTCACACCTCCTAATAGTGCCATTCCCTTTGGGGACCATTTTCTTTCAAACCACCACAGTCATCAAATAAGGAAACAATATGGAGTGACAGGCATATCACCAAGTAAATGAAGTGACTGAGGAGACTGTACACAGTGTGAACGCAACAGGATGGCGTTCTGAGACTTCCAGGCCAGCCTGGACTACAGACTGAGTCAGATCATTTTTCAAAAACAGACAAAAAACAAAAACAACAACTTGGAAAAGAACCTTAAGAAATATAGCAAATCTGTAAAGAAATTGAAATCACGGGAGAGTAAATCTAAAGACATAACTGGAAGCCATAACACACACAAGAGGATCTAGAAGAATGGGAAGACGAGGGTTTGCTAGCCGACAGGCTCAGATCTCATATAATCACACAATTTGGGGCATGCAATCTCAAAGAGTAGGGGAGAAGGGATGAGGCAGGAGGAGGAGAGAACGGTTTTACAGGTACACTTGGCGAGCTGGCTACCACTTCACAGAAAGTGCAGAAGGGAAGTCTTGGGGATGTGTTCAGACAGGTCATAGCAACTACTGCAGTTTAAGAGGCTCTGCATGGGGAGTGGAAGGCACAGATGAGGTAGTTTAGAAAAATCAATTTTAGTTCTCTCTCTCTTTCTCTCTCTCTCTGTCTCTCTCTCTTTCTCTCTCTCTCTGTCTCTCTCTCTCTCTCTCTCTCTCTCTCTCTCTCTCTCTCTCTCTCTCTCTCTCTTTCTTTCTATCTCTCTTCCTTTCTATTTTTTGCTTTTTCAAAGCAGGGTTTCTCTGTGTAGCTCTGGCTGTCCTGGCACTTATTCTATAGACCAGGGTGGCCTCAAACTCAGAGATCCACCTGCCTCTGCCTCCCAAGTGCCAGTATGAAGGGTGTGTGCCAGCATGCCCAGGTGGTTATTATTTTCTTTTCTACAACATTTGCAAAGGAAGCTGAAAGAAGTTAAACTGTATTGTGCACTCTCTCTCTTTCTCCCTCTCCCTCTCTCTCCTTGAGAAATTGTTGTTGTACTTTTGGGGAGGATTTAATTTGATCCCATGTAGTTCAAGAATGACAGGTTTTCCTGTATGAAAACAGGAGACTGATAATGGAGTATGTGACGACATGGTGACTGGAGAGGACAGCCTGCTCCTGCCTTCCTTCACTTCCCCTAACAGTTTAGAAGACAGATCTATCTCCAGGAAACTCAGAATGAAGTAACAGCCCAGAAGTCAAAGCTTTAGCAACCAGTATACAGGGAGGTGTTTTTCAGCAAGGCAAAACCATGGCTGCAGAAAGGGAGAAAAACAAGGGGTACCAACTGCTCGGTGAGAGAGAAAGCTGGGAAATGAGCTAGCTCATTGTCTAATTGCAGCTTTCCCTTTGACCTCGGAACCAAGGCAGCAAAGTGGAAGTTGGGGTGAGGAAGGGAAAAAATACGCACCGTGAAGGAAGAATGTGGTGTTCAGTCAATCCTATTTTGACCAACTTCATGATTCATCAG